CTAGAACATGGCCACACAGCCCGAAAAAAAACCCACAAAAAAACTATAAAAACAAGTTATTTCTATAATATGAAAACAATGTTAACTTCTTTAATGGAATGCAATATTTTTGAATGTCAGAAGTAGATACACAGAGATCACATGTTTAGGGAAAATGTAACCAAGCAAAAACAAACAAGATATTTATAAAAGTATGCATAGTTTGAAAAAAATTGAAGAAAAATGTTTTTAAAAATTAATCTGTGCCCCATAACAATGAGACAGAATTAAAATATATGTTCCAGACAAACAAAGAAAGTTCTTCTTAACACATGCATATAATTTATGGAATTTACTACCACACTGGTAGCCATTTTAGATGATTTTAAAATGAGATTAGACAAATTTATGGAGAAAAGTTTTATCAATTAGTATGTGTGGTGTAATGGTTTGAACATTGGACTACAAGTCTAGAGACCAGAGTTTGAATCCATGCACATCCCTGAAAACCCCATGGGTGACCTTGGGCAAATCACACTCTTGGTCTCAGAGGAAGGTAAATCCTCTGAAAATATCTTGCCAATAAAAGCCTAGGACAGGGTCTTCATAAGTCAGAACCAACTTGGAGGCACCCACCACCAAAAACAAGAACTAATCATGATGGCTTTTTGGGATTCCAGTTTTCAGTGAATGTATGCCACTGAATACGACTGGCTGGGGGAGTTGTGGAATGGAGTATCTGGGAAGTAATCTTGTTTCATTTCCCTTCTAAGAAGAGTCATACTGCTGTTGTTCTTCAATCTTTGTTTTAATTTGGCAACATAACTTTAACGTCCTTGATTGTTTAAAGACAGTAATTAAAAGTTTAAAATATCTAGTTCAATTAAGCCAAGTAACCTTGCCACAGGCAATGAAGGGTCAGATGTCTGTTTCATGGAAGTCTTCTGTTCGGGTGGAGCATTCCTCCTAACAGAATAGGGGAATTCTTCACTGTTTCTCCCCTCTCCCTGCAGCCTCCTGCACACAGCCAAAACATTTGCTCGGGGGATTGAACACTGGATGTGTATTTCAGAGAGCTTAACAGGAAACTCACACAGTGATGGATAGATCCTCAAACCTCTCCCTCCCATTCCTACCAGGAAGAGCATTCTGAATAGAACTTTGCTCAAGAAACACTACCATTACCAGATGAAGATAGGTTCCCCTATACATTATGATTTAATATAAAAGATTTCAAGGGTGCATTTATGGGTCAGGTAATACATATCTAAAGGACAAAGAACTGTTGAAGAATAAAATCAATGTTTCTGAAGGTTATATGATAACTTCTTAGGGACTGCCTGTTTTTGAGGAGTTGTTTTTGTTGCTGTTGCTGTGTACCTTCACATCATTTCCAACTTACAGTGACCCTAAAGTGAACCTATCATGGGATTTTCTTGGCAAGATTTGTTAACAGGGGAGTTGCCTTTGTCTTCATCTGAGGCTGACAGAATGTGATTTGCCCAACGTCACAAAGTAGATTTCCATGGCTGAATTCAAATCCAGGTCTCCCAGAGTTTTAGTCCAAAACCCCACCATAGGTCACTTTACTGTTGGCATAAGTTGGAAACAACTAGAAAACACACAAAAACATCAGAGCATATTCATTACTATTGTGCTGAATTATAATTCAATGTGAAATATATTTATGGAATTCACATTGCTGGCAGTTATGCTTCCCACTACTCAAAAAGAATATCTTTTACTGGTGATTATGCAGCTCTTGAAAGACTTCCAACAGAAGGAGAGCATCCATTTTGACCTTGATTCAAACTGTAGGGGTCTTGGTCTTAGCTATAAGAAGGATGAGTGTTTCAGAAGTCTCCCATTTGTCAATTTGCTCCATCACTCTTTTTATATTAATACTGGGTATATTTAAAGGGAAAAAAGAAAAACTGTATAGTTCCTTCATTAAACACACTGTAAATAAAGTTTCCAGAAGAATTCTATTCTTCTGAAAATAACTTTTGAGTCCTGGGGTTTGTGGCAATGAATTAGCTCAAAGATGACAAAAACTGTGATAAAAACAAGGGTAGAAAAGGAAATTTTAAAAAACAGAAAGGAAATAGGAAAAGGAAAGATCTTTTTTTAAAAAAATCAATAAGAGGATTTCAACAAAGTGTGAAATCTGGTAAGGAAGTGACAGATAAGTAAAAAGAAAAAAGTGGGTGGGGAGAACAAATTTAATCTTCTGTTGAATATATGGCTCTTGGTAAGGTAAAGGTAAAGGTATTCCTCATTGACAAGGTTAACTCGTGTCTGACCATAGGGGGCAATGCTCATCTCTGTTACTAAGCCAAAGAGACAGCGTTGTCAGAGACTACTCTGTTATCATGTGGCCAGCATGATTGCACAGAATGCTGTTTACCTTCCCACCAAATTGGTAACTATTTATCTACTTGCATTTGCATGTTTTCGAACTGCTACACTGGCAGAAGCTGGGACTAATGACAGGAGCTCACCCCATCATGCAGCACCTCAGCCTTAAACTGCCAATCTGCCAATCTTGCAATCAACAGAGTCAGCGTCTTAACCACTTGAGTCACTGCATCTTGGTACACACCATTAAATCAAAATGGGACAGTAAATGCAAAAATAAACTAGAAAACAAATATGAAGAATTAGACAACAAAACTAGAAATAAAACATAAAAGAATAATGACCCATTAAAAAATGGAAGGGAGATAACAAGTCTTGTCTGCATGGGGCAAATAAAACCTCTTCCTCTTATATCCATGGTGATTAGTCCAGAAGACAAAGGGCACAATCCCTGGTTTTGGTGCAAATTCTTCCAGCGATGTCCAGCCAGTTCAGCACTGAACCTGCCGTATACCCCTTAAAACTTTTTTTTTTAAAAAATCATTTTTTGTTTCAGATCTTCCCATAAGATTCAGATCCCTCCACTGCAACACCAGTTGACTGTTTTCAATGTGTCCTGTTGTTCTGCCCACCATTACCATGGCAAGTCATTCACTTTGAAGTCAGAGCAAAGCATCCAGCAGGCAGCACAGCGGATGTGCATGTGAAACAGCATCACAACAGAGGATCCCAGGTAATGGGGGAATGTCAAGGCAGCTTCAAGACCAGAATATTCTGGGCTGCTTCCAAATTATTCTGGCCCATGCAGACAGTGTCTTAGTGTAATGTTTAAAAAAAATGGGCTGTTGTTTTTTTGAAGGAAAGGGTAGATTTTTAACAGATAATTTTGACAGAAACTGCCTATAGGGTGAACTTTATGGTAGCTAGAAGGAAGCAACAGAATAGGGAGGTGAGTCAAGATCAAAATAATAATTCTTATTTACAACTGCTAAGTGAAGAATTACAGGGTAGTGCTGACCACTGTGTGTAAGAATTTGGCAATTCTAAAAATGTTCAATTGTTCTGTAAAATGCTTTGTGAACATGATCTGTGCAAGCACATGATTTTTCACATATAATGCAGAACAATATCATATATGAAAGTTGTGTATGTATATTTTACTGTATGTCTGAAAGAAGAAGAAGGCAATGTCTTGGTTGGACTTTGCCTCACTTGCCAACCTAGACCAAAGCTTCCAAAACCAAAACTACTACATTCAATCATTGAAGAAAGGGAAACCAAAGTTCAGTGCTTCAGTGAGCAAGCCTAGTTGAAATGATCCAGGCTGGGGTTGACTTCCATCATATTCCACACTCACACTTCTTTTGCCTCATGGTAAGGGACACCATACAATATCCCCTTTCTTATGTTCACCATACCAAAAACAAACTGAGAAACTTCCACTTGCAAAATTATAGCTCTGAGTACATGAAGAACAAATTTCTCACTCCAGGAAAAAGGTCAAACAAGTCATAGACATATTAGAAAATGTATGTACATAGACATGCATCAAATCCATATACACAAATAATGCCTTAAAATTCATTTCGGGCTTGACTTTCTATAGTGTTCTAAGCAGCTGCTTGCATATGTGTAACTTGTTGTCCAGAATGACAGCTGTATTTTCGCCTGTTTTGACATTGAGTCTGATTTGGGTGAATAGCTCATATCCATTAAAGTGCTTTTACAACACTGAATGACTGCCAGAATACTTCCTGATCAATTTTAAAAGCCAGCTAGCTGTCATCATCTAATCGCAACAGCAGAAAACAAATCTCTGTGGAATAAAACAAGATTTTAAAGCATTTTTAAAAGCATGATATTAATTTTGAAACCTTTAGGCTATTTAAATAAGACTATAAGGCTGCTACAACCATATCTACATTTTTTAAAAAGTGATGCTTTCAGCTTTCTGAAAACCCAAAATACTTGTTACTACGCAAGCATTCTAAAATGCTATTACTGTTGAACATTTTAACAGTGAGTTTAAACTTTTGCCATCTCCAGAAAGCATCACTGTGATCACAATTAATCTCAGTTCCATAAAGTGCCTGACTAAAGAAAGCCCCTAACTATGCATAACACAGAACGGATGTAGTCTCCCACATCTTCTTCATGCATAATTGGGGTATATGCATATTTTAATATGCTTTTGTTGTTGTTAACTGCCCTCAAGTTGAACCCAACTCATGGCAGCCTTGTGGAGGAGACATCTTCAAGCTCTCTATCCTCCTCTGCTCTGCTTAGGTTTTATGATTTAAGGCCCGTGGCCTCCCTGATTGAGTCTAACCATCTGGGGCGCAATCTTCCTCTGTTTCTGTTAAATTAGGAGAAGTAGCTAATACCCCAGAGGACAGGATCAAAATTCAA